AGACAGAAAGCGAGAAATCACCCTCCCCCCCGAGGGTATGGCCACGCCGCAATCCCTTCTCCTCCATTCTCCTCTCGGGATCTTGGGCACGCATGCACACGCACCCGGCGTGAGTTTTAAGCCACTGGGTACAGGACGCGAACCGCAGTCGACTACGTGGGAGTCCAGCGACGTAGCCATTATGCTAACTGCTGGTCCCAGAACTCACTTAATCTTAATGACCTCTTAAAGAATATATCTCCTAATATAACCACATGTTGGGCTACTGGGGGTTCAGATATCATATGTGAATTTGGAGGACACAATTCGGACCATACTATACACTTCCCTCCTGTAGTAGACAAAGTCCAGGTATGGGATTGCTTGGTACAAGGTTTTGCATATGCAAAATTTTCACAGCTTCAGCCAAATTACTTTCCAAAAGGCAGTTGCCACCAGGTTCTAATGGTGGCTGTTTCCTGGCATTGAGCCTGGCTCTGGCTGATATTATTTCTTTAAATTTTTTGGCCAATCAGGTGTCAGGGTGACAAACACGTGGCTTATTTGCTTTCTGATTCCCCACTTCTAAGTTTGAGCCTCGTGGCAGGGGAGGGCCTGCCAGATAACCTTGGGGATTTGCCAAAGCCAGCTATAGAAGGAGCCCAATGGGGTTAGTGATACTTGGAGAGAAGTGGGTGCAGAGTGAATTCCGGGACAGGGAGGCTGGTCCAAGAGAGAGGCCTGGGGAGGGGTTCAGGAAGCTGAGTGGGAATTCCGGGGGAGGAGCTTCAGAACAGGTGCTCATTCACACCTCCTCTGGCACGGGGTACCTTGGGTTGCCTTCTTATCAGGTTTGCCAGAGCGGGTGATGCTAGACACTGCGGTGCAGGGTTACTGGATGTGAGTGAACCTGACAACAGAGCTAGTGTAGGGACCACGCTCTTGAGGCTGGGGATGAGAGAGCCCCGACTGAGCCCTGAGCTCTCAGCACTTGACTGAGAGACCTTTGGCCAGCCCCGAACTCGGGGCATCGTCCCCATCACACTGGTGCATGAATGGAGGTTCTCAGTAAGGCCCCAGACTGTGTTCCCCAGCTGGTGAAGCTGCAGAGCTGCTATGCTGTAAAGCTGCAGTTCTGGGTCCAGCCAGACTCAACCAAGCTCACTGGAGGGTGAAGTGGGGGCAACTCTAAGCGAATCAGTACCCAAGCAGTCTCCTCCTGCCTGAGGCCTCAGTTTCCGTCTGTCACGAGAGAAAGACCCCAAGCCCACCTTGCCAGACTCTGCTGTGGAGCCCTGAGCCTGGTCCAGGTCGTTTTGTTTTGCTTTCGCGCCCTGCCCTCTGGTGGTCACTATTGGTAGTGCATGAGAGGCGTGGAGGAGGAAGTGGGGTCACCAGCTAGGGAGCCTTTCTGCTGGGGTTGGCCTGGAGATTTTCCCAAGAGAATCTGGAGGCTCAAGGTGTGAAAGTCAGAGAAGCTCGTAGGCGAGACACTCCCTGGCTCCACCCTATGTAGACATAGAGGAGATACGCAAACATAGAGGAGACCCAGCCACTACAGGGTGGCGGTAGGGAGCTGGGACCCAGGACAGTCCCACACTGCTCTCACCACCCTTTAACACCCAGAAAGTGAGCTCATGGACTAGGCTCAGATATTTTTAAAAGGACAGAGGGTATTGAGAGCTGCCTTCCTAGGCAAGGGCTGTTCTGTGACCGTGGGTCTCAAGTGTGCGGTGTATGCTGTCAGAACATGAGGTCCGTTCTATACCATGAGAACCAGTGGTTAAAGCTACGGAATAGGGCTTGCTCAGGTGAACTTCACAGAAACAGTTTACACGATCTAATGCACATCGATTCCATTTCGTAAAAATAGTGCACGTGCGTGGAAAGGTGGTGTAGACTCTGGCTGTCTATGGTGCTAGGATTTTTATAGTCATCATTTTGCTGGTTTCAAAAATTCTCCTTTTCTGCAATGGACATATATTCCTTTTGGAATAATAAGAAAAACAATGAAAGGTGGTCGTGGGGCGGGAGAGGGGGCAGAAGGTATGGTGTTGCCCTGAAGGGTAGGGCCTCCTCACTCTCCTGGACTCTGTGCACTAAGGCCCATCGAGCTGAGCAGGCAAGGTCTCACCCCTGGACAAAGCCAGCAGAGCGGGGTGAGTGTCCCCATTGGACAGATGTGGGAGCTGGCATAGGGGCCTCCCAAGCCTGTGGCTGTCTGTCCCAGCAGCACTGCCATCGTGTGTGGGCTCTGTCGGGCTGTGCTGGGTATGCAGGTCCTACTTGCCCCAGTCCTTACTGCCCACCTCAGACTCAAAGGCTCAAGGACTCAGTGAGCAGGCCCTGAACCACTGCTAGGATGTGGAGCAGCGAGCTGGGGTGAAGCCAAAGGACTCAGGCCAGGGGATAGGCCTGGGACAGGTTAGTAGGCAGCTATGCAGGGGAGAGGACAGAGCAGGTGGCAGGCCAGATAGGGGACAGCATAGGTCAGGGGACAGGTCAGGGGGTAGATGACGCAGGTCAGGGACAGGTGATAAAGCCAGGATACATATAGAGTGGAGTGGGAGGGGTCAGGAGAGAAAGAGGGTATCTCAGGGCAATGGTGCAGGTACCTCCTGGGCCTCTGACATTTGTGCTCAGGGATCCCTGTCTCCTGGTGGGAAGGCTGAGGCAGCCAAGGAAGTGAATGATGCAGGGGACTGAGAAAGCCTTGTTTTAGCCCCAGCTCTGCTACTTAGGGCCACGAGGAAACTGCGGTCTCCACCTCAGAGGTGCCCAGAGAGGGGCTGTGAGCCAGGGCTAATGGACGATTCTTTCCCATCCTTGAGGCCTGGCTATGCCAGGTGGTGGCCCCACCGCAGCTGGCTGCGCTGAACCTGGCCAGGCTCTTGGATTACCTTGCCAGTGCTCTCCCCCTCTCCCCCCAGCTGGGCCTGTTCCACAGACCTGCTTCCTGAAGCCTCCTGGCCCCTCTGGGTCTCACCCAGGCTGAAGAGGTGGAGAGTGACTGACCACAGGCTGTCCAGCACCCAGGACTGCCTCCCTGTCTTGTGCATGCTGCCCAAAGACTCCCAGGGCCCCGAGGGGGAAGGCAGCACCCCTCTTTTGCTGGGTGCTTTCCACTTTCAATGCACCAGATGCATTCGCTCCAGGCTGTTTGTGGGGAGGGCACACCACCTGTGGAGGGGGGCAGCTGGAGCTGGGCTAGGACCTGAATATGTCACTCTGCATCTGGGTGACTTTGCCAATGTCCTTATTTACAACGTAGGCTACACAGATGGCCACCCCACCCTGGCCAGACTGAATTAGAGCACGTGTGCTGAACATGCTGAAGCAGGGAGGAGTTCTGCGCATGAGACTCGCTGCTCTGAGTTAAGAGGAGAAGGGTTCCTGGCCTTACGTGGGGGAACTTGGGGCGGTAATACTGCTGATACCTGAGTTCATCTGCAGTTGGGGAGCTGGTCTCTGGCAGGTTGACCCGTCTCCATGAACCTCTCTCTTGCTTGAGGACTCTTTCTGGCTCCCTGGGAGGGTCCTGTCCTGCAAGCTGGGATAAGCCAGCAGTGTAGGAGTGTTAATGCCCAGGGGTACCCTCTACCAGTGTGGATGGAGCCAACCCAGGTGGGATGCTGTTTTCCAGGACACTGAGACTGGGCATCCATCATGGTCGCCACACCCCAAGGGTCCTCTGGTGGCTTTTCTCCTCCCAGGCTCTCTTCCCCCACACCCTTACACATGCTTCTTGGGATCATGTCCAAAACAAATGATGTATCCTCAATTCTCTGTCCACTGTTGGGTAGCCTAAAACTCTGTTGAAGTTTTGAGTATGTAGCCTTGAACAAGCTGTCTTAACGTTTTAAACCTGAGTTTCCTTGCCTATAAAATGGGACAAAAGCCTACCTCATGAAGTCATTAAAAGAGACAAGGCATGCTGTCTTAGTCTGTTTTGGGATGTACTTGAGACTGGGTAATTTCTAATGAACAGAGGCTTGTTCCTTGCAGTTCTGGAGGCTGGGAAGTCCAAGGGTGTGGTGCTTCCCATGGTCCCTTGGCTTCTTGGACAACATCTGGCAAGGACTTCCCTGCTGCATCATGCCATGGAGGAAGGAGGGAAGACAAGAGAGTGCAAGAGCGAGATAACTTCTGTAACAAACCCACTCTCAAGATATCAAAACAAATTTATCCATGAGGGCAGAGCCTCATGACTGAATCACCCTTGTTAGGCTCCACCTCCCAACACGGCTGCATTGGAGGTTAAGTTCCCACCACATGAGCTTTAGGGGGACACATTCAGATCTTAGCGCATTTGGAAATATAACTGATGCAAAGTCAAAGTGCAAACCACAGGAAAGAAACAGGAGTTCATGAAGCTGGGGAAGGAATGTGAGCAGTCTGATCGAACGACACAAAACTACTGATAACTGAGACCTGCGGGGTTAGCTGCTTTACAATCAAGAAAGAGAAAATGACAAGGAAGATGACACAGATGACACATGGAAGTCTAAATGAGGATGACCTTAATTCCATGGGCTCGAAGAGGCCCTTAGGAAAATGAAGGAAGCCTAGAAGATTTTTGCCAAATGCTGTGGTTTGATCAAAGAAATTATGTCACAAATACCAGTCAACACTGGAATGATTCTCTGTTGGGTCTACGAATCCAGGCAGAGTTGCGATTATAACCCACACTTGTTAAATAGAAGATATAATTTTCCTCTAGGTTTTAATTATCTCACTTTTCTAAATGAAGTGCCAGGCATGCCTTCTGAAGGCTGTTTTCTTTCAAGCCCTGGTGTCCATTTGACGTGATTGCTCACTAGATCCTAGCATCTTCTTCATCCCTGCTAACCACGGCGCCCCTCCCTCCACGTCTGTCTTCCTCCTCGGAAATGAGCGCCACGTGGGTGGGGCCACACCGCGTCCTGCTCACTGATGAAGCTCCAGTGTGTAGCGTACGGCAGGGATAGGTGCAGGGGTGGAGGAAGGGATACATGGATGACAGACAGACTGAGGAAGGGTCTGAACAAAACAAGACTTTATTGGGATGGAGTGGAGGGCTCATAAATACAAGCCCTCGATGGTGGTCTTGGAGCGCTTCCAGCAGTCCTTCCAGCGCTGAGCTTCCTGCATCTGCGATGTGGTGTCATCCTGAATTGTCTTCAGCTCCTCCTCAAATAAATCTAAATATTTCTGGGAGCAAGGCAGCAGGAGGGAGTCGTATGAGGAGGGACTTCTGGACTCTGCCTTGGAGAACACCTAACTCACTCCAGAACTGGCCAGAGTTCCCCAGGTCATTTCTCATATAATTTGCCCAACAACTCACTAGATAGGTCTGGTTGTTCCTCTCATTTTACAGATGGGGAAACCGAGGCTCAGAGCCTTGACTGGAGCCACCTACCCAGAAAGAAGCTGCACCGGAAGTAGGACTCTTCTATTTGACCTGGACGTTGCAATCCCCCCTAATCTCCACTCTGTGCTGTAGCTTCCCTGGAGCTGAGTCCTGGCTTCCGTGGGAGGCTGAACCCTCTGGGCCTCAACCTTACTGACCTTAGGCTGGGCCTGGGGTGGCAGCTGAGGAAGGGCCAGCCCTGGGCATTTTGGGTTCTCCTAATACCAGAACCAGCTGACCTCCAGCAGGACAGAATTCTCTCTGGGCATCAGGACCAAAGGTCTACCGATCTTCAGAGTTGAGAGACTTCTCAAGTGGTATCTGTGTCCAACTTATCAGGTTGGCCCCAAAGGTTCAAGTCCCAGCTCTGCCACTCTATTGTGGCATAGAGGGAATAAGTTTCTTTAAGCATCAGTGTCCTCATCAGTGAAATGGGGACCCTGATTCTACCTCCCTTGTGGGGTTGTTAGGCGGATTCCGTGAGATGCCCCATGTCAAGGGCAGAACTCCAGGGAATCCTGCAGTACCTATTAGCTGCCCCTGCTACCACGTCCCCCACGGTCAACTTCCTGCTGCCACCACCTCCATGCCTGCCTAAGACATGCCTAGCTCTGCCTCTGCTGTCCACTGGAAGCCCTTCTTCATGCCCAGCTGGGGTGGGGCGTCTCTCGGCTGGGTTCCCACGGCACTGGGATTGCATCTCAGACCCACACCAGTACTGGGACTGGCTGTGTCACTCATTTTCATCCTTATGCCTGTGAACACTGTCTGTTCTGAGTGTTGAAGCCCGAAGCTCCAGGGTGCGCTGACACGCATCATCTGCACCAGAGGCCAAATGTCAGGGGACCCAGCGGTGGGATGCACCCTCCTTCCCAAGACAGCCAAACTGAGCTGCCATGTGCTCCCTGGACATGCCCAGTGCACTCTGTCTCACCTGGTACACAGCATCTCGGGCTTCGATGGCCGCCAGGTGGCCCAAGGTCGTTTTGGTGGTGGTTATGGAGGCCGTTTTCCGGAGGAGAATATTGTTTTGGATGGTGACTTCTGTGGGTTTGATTCCTGGCCATTTTCTACAAACAAACATGAAAGTCCCAAAGGCTTGGCTGGCTTCATCTCTCATAGCCTACCCGCTAACCCTGTTGGACAAGGTTAGTAGTGATCACGGCTTTAGACAGCTCAATTATGATCAAAAACCCTACTGAGTATTTAACGTTATGTTCCCTCACGTTCTGTTTCATGTTTACGTATTGCTGTAATTGGTGCGCAGGGTCTTGGGTTCTGCGTGGGGAAGGGGATGCCACACCTCACGTAACTCCCCTTTCCAGGCCTCAGTTTCCCCATTGGTCTGCCAGCCAGGCTGTGGGTGCTGGTTCCTGGCCCATTTTTCCTGTTTGGCTGTAAAGTTTGCTGCTGAGAACACAGCCGGACAAACCTCTGCTTGGCTTGCTCTTGCAGTCACATTCTTGGGGCCCAGAGGACAGGCAATTCTATAGCTCTTCGACACCACGGCTGAGAGGTTCACAGTGACGCCACTGACCTGAGAGTGTGCCTCCCACCGGGACAGGCCCCCCTTTCTCTGAGGAGGACCGTTGGTGGGTCTTTATCATGTGCGCTAATAGTGAGTACTTCCCATACATCAGGGGCACACCACGTACCACCTCATTTCAATTGTTTTTATAGCCAGAGTGCGTGTGTGCTCACTGGAGAGAGGGAGGGAGAGGAAGAAAGCACCCCCAGTGGGACATGGCCACTGCAGCTTCTCCTCCTCCATCTCTCTAGCCTATCAGGATTTTGAGTATGTATTGCACATGAGCCTGGCGTGCTTTTTTTTTTTTTTTTTTTTTTGGAGAGATTTTCACTGTAGGGCATGTGCGCTCGCCAGACAGAGAGAGACATAGAGACAGAAAGCGAGAAATCACCCCCCAGGGGGCTGGTCACGCCGCAATCCCTTCTCCTCCATTCTCCTCTCGGGATCTTGGGCACGCACGCACACGCGCCCGGCGTGAGTTTTAAGCCACCGGGTCCGGGACACGAACCGCGGTCGACTACCTGGGAGTCCAGCGACATAGCCATTACGCTAACTGCTGGTTCCCATGCCTGGCGTGCTTTTCACACAGCTGGGGAGGGATTAAAACTGTGGTTCGGGCCAGGAGGTGGCGTGGTGGTTAAGGTGCTGAACTCCCACATGGTCGACTGTAGTTCGAGTCCTGAATCTGGTGGCTTGAAACTCATGCCAGACACGTGTGTGCATGCGCAAAATCCAGGAGGAGAATGGAAAAGGGATTGTGTGTGGTCATCCCCCTGGGGAGTGATTTCTCACTTTCTCTCTCTCTGTGTCTCTCCAACCAGCGCATGCGCCCTATAGCCAAAAATCTCTCAAAACAAAAAACAAAACCAACAAAAATGGTTGACGATGTGGCCTGGGTCCGTTAGCCACCAGGCTGTGTGGCCGGCCCATGCACAGTATCTCATGTAACTTCTCTTCGTGATCCATGGAAGGCAGACCACTTTGCCCATTTCACAGACGAGGAAACCGAGCCTCAGAACACAATGCCTTCTCAAGGTGACTGGGTCTTCTGACTTCAGAGCCTGTGCTCCTACCACCCCTCCCTCCCATCTCCACTCCACCCCACAGCAGGTACAATCATTCACAGTACTTCTCGATGCCCTCGGCTCCTACCTGCTCCTGGCTCCTACCTGCTCCCGCGTTCAATCAGGGGCTTCTCAGTCTCTTCCTCCAGGGAGAGCCCAGCGAGTTTCTTCCGTATGAGGATTGACGTTTTCTGCCTGCGGTGCTCCATTTCTGGCAAGTAAGAGACAGGTGGCTCAAGGCCTGTTCCTGGAGGCTTGAAATTCATGCTGGATGCATGTGTGCATGCCCGAAAGCTCAGAGAATGGAAGAGAAGGGATTGTGCATTTGTGCATAGCCATCCCCTGAGGGGGTGATTTCTCACTTTCTCTCTCCGTCTTCTCTGTCTCTGGCAAGGACACGCACCCTAAAAAGAGAACGATAGAGAGACAGGCTGCCATATTGACAACCCAAGATCAAGGGCCTTCCCCTGCTGTTCCATCACAGGTGTGAAGGCTAGCTCCTTCCTGCCCCACTGGAGTCCCCAGGGTCAGGCAGCAACCCCTCCACAGAGAAGCATATGTACAGCGAGTGGTGGGGGCAGTGGGAAGCCATTGCTGGGTGAGTCTGAGGGGTGGTTTGGTACTGTTCCTGACTCCACACTCCTGAGCCTAATGCTCTGACGTTCCCGCAGCTCTGCAAGTGCCCAGGTGTGTTCTGTAGAGCCCTCTTTGGCTTATCCTAGGTCAGATAGGCCCTGGAAGGAGCACACTCAAGGTCGTCCCTTGAATGCCTGGCTTACTGATCCAAATCTTTGATGTGCTTTTTTATTTATTTAGTTTTTCAATGAATTATTTATTTCATTTTATTTATTATTATTAGTTTTTAATTTGATGAGAGAGAGAGAGAGACAGAAAGAGGAAAAGTGAGAAAGCAGACTGTCAGGTCTGGGACTTGAACCATGGTCAGCCATGTGAGAGTCCAGCAGCTCAACCACCATGCCACAGTTGCTGGTCCCTGGTGTGCTTTATTGACTGGAGAGAAAAAAGCTCCATGTGTGGAGGGGGAGCCAGCAGGCAGGGCAGCCCTAATCTCCCACCCAGAGCCAGCAGCTCGGCTCAGAAACCTCGTTACAGAACAGGCAGAGGACTTCTGGGGCCTGGTGCAGGGGTTTCCTGGCCCCGCGAGTCCCTGCATGGTGCCATAGCTGCTCCGTGGCCAGCTCATCTGTCTCTTCTTGCTGTCGTCTCAAACCCCAGCAACTCTGTAGGTCTTGCTTTCCTGAATGAAGCTTCCCCGGACAAAGAGACTCCTGATACTGGAAGGTGGTCACCTCAAAAATGCGAACACACTGTGACCCAGAACGTGTATTTCTGGAAATCTGTTACCCCTTGTCCTCCATTCTCTCGGGATGTTGGGCACATACATGCACCCAGAATGGGTGCAGAGGTGTGACAAATGCAAATGGCCAATGTCCAAAGCGGGGGATTTAACAAGTACGTTTTGGTGCTTAGTGAATGATGGTACACAGCAACTGAGGATGCTTAAGAAGAGAACTAGCTAGGGCAAAGGTATACTGTACACATTCAGAACTTCGACAGAGACTGGCAAGTGGTTCCCTGAGAAGCCATCTAGATGTACGCACTTCCTGAGGGTCTCTGGGTGTTTCTGTTTTCGGACATTCTCATCAGGGCTGGTTGTCATCGAGTGTAAAAACTTTTCTAGGCTACGGGTGAAAATCACACCTCAATGGCGTTCGTATTCGCATTTCCTCGTCAGTGAGGTCGAGCATCTGTTCCCGGCACCAGCCATCCTGAATTACTTCTCTTTTGAAGTGTATTTGTCCCTTTTTCTCTTTAAAATCTGTGAGCATTCTTTGTACCACAGGACATAGATCCTCTGACCTCTAGGTTATGAGGAATACTTTTCCAGTTTGTGGCTGTCTTTGTATCTTTTGACATTTTTATGGTTTTGTTTAGGCCACTGAGAAATGCCAGCTTCTGGTTGTCTTGTCCATTTAGAAACTCTGAGAAATGTCTGCTTCTGGTTGTCTTGTCCATTTAGAAAAGGTATCTCAACCTCCAAAAGTTTGAACATGCTTACTATTAGGATTTCCCTTTTTTTTTTAGATAGTGTGGGAGGCTGCACACCTGCGAGACTGCCGAGGTTTCTCAGAGAGCAAACAATTGCCATGATTGGTTCCCTTAAAAAAAAAAAAAAAAACCTGACCTTCAAAACTTTGCTCTGATTGGCCACTAGAATCCCTCAAATTTGCATATCCTGCACCTCATGATTGGTCCAAAAGCAACCAATCACAACCCACCACACAATGTCTCCTGTCCTTCGGTCCCTTCCCCAGGGCCAGGGCACAGGCTGGGGATGCTGCTTACTTGCAACCTGGATGTCATCGATGGTGACCACATCATCCAACTGCAGCAGGAACTTCTCCGTAAAGGAGGCCAAGCTGGTTATGAAAATTCGGCCGTAATTCCTGGTGAATTCCTGGAAGAGACATGGGAGCACAGCATTGCAGAGAGAGGCACCTCAATCCAAGGCTGCCCGAGGAGGACTGGGTGGACTCTGGGTGGGGTGGGAGGAGTGGAGCTCGGGGAAATATTGGCAGTTGGACCACCATCAAAGCCACCATGTCCACTGTGTCTGGGTTAAATGGCATCTGGTCCTCAGCCAGGAGGTCTCTCTTGAGACTATATGGCTTGAAGAGAAAAAAATGATTCTAACATGGTCAAAGGACACACAGAGACAATTCACTCATAAGTAAATAAAACTAGACATGGAACATTAAAAAAAGTTCTCATTAGTAATTTTGGTATTAATTAGTTTAGAAATCAGAGGAAAAACAAGTTAATGACTGTTTCCATCTACAAGACCCACCCTCTTTCAGGCCTCCTCTGGCCACACTCAGCGCTGTGGCGTGCTGTCTGCTGGGGCACTTTCTGGGGGGCTGTGTGGCCCTCAGCCCCAGACCAGGAACTCAGTGGCACCACTGACCTCCAGCTTCTCCCTGTTCATCTGAATCACACGGTCCATCTCTCCCTGTCTTGCTTTTTCCACTATGTGTAGAGATTCCATTTCTTGGAAACGTGTTGGGTGTCCGAGATTTGGATGGAGCTTCTGGGAGTTTTCATCCTTCAATCAAACAATCCAGAAGTCAGTGAGATTTTGACTCAGTCTGAGGTCAGGACTGAAAGGTCACTGGCCTATATCTTCTGTCGATTATGGCCAAGGCCAGACTGATGTGTCCTCTGATCTGGGTTGTTAGGAGCCATGGTTGGGCAGAGGAGAGGAAGAGAGGACAAGCTGTGGACATAGTGGAGCCGACTCGGAGGGGTTGGGAGAGGGAGAACGAAGGGTCTCCCCTAGTTCTACCAGGGCTTCAGTCCAATAAGATCAGCAGCACCCATGTCCCACGGCTGTAAGGACCAGTGTGGATGCTCATGGTTGGTCTCAATGACCATGGTCCCACCAGTCTCAGCACTCCCACCCATTAAGTCCAGCAAGGAGTTTCCTGAATGTCTTCTATGAGGAAGTGGTTGGCTCAGTTATTATTCCACTATGTCACCTGTCCCTCAGCCCCTACCCAGTAATCCCAAACCTGGCTCATCTTCCCTCAAACTTGGCACTGCCCATGACTGGCCTCCACGCTGAACTCCCAGGGCCCTTGGTTCTGGAGTAAAAGGCTGGTTCTGGGGCCCTTACCTTCCTTTTCTCCAGCTGTGTCTGCTTTTCCTCAAATTGTCTTCGAATCTCATTCATTAAGGTGCAAAACCTTTTCCAGTGGTGCTCTTTGAAATTCTCCATCACCAGCCAACATACCTGGGGCAGCATCTCCTCAAATCTTCTCACTTGGGCCCGCAATTCTGAATTGTGGGGCGGGGGGTCAGGAGAGCAGACAGAATAGAGCCAGGCTGCTGATGTGAACTCTCCAACAAAGGCCTAAAGCAGTTTCCCAAAAGGAAAACCTCAGTCTCCCATGTGGCAGCAGTTATTCCATCAAGAAGAGCCCCAGCGTCAAACCAGTCTGAAAAAATCCTGGGTTAAGTGAATTAAAGGGCTTCTCCTCTACACTCTGCAGATTTCTCAGCTCATTTAAAACACCTTGTCTTTCAGCAATTCTGGCAAGTTCTCATCTGCCATCTCTTCGGGTATTGCCTTGACTCTAGACTCCTCCCTTTCTCTCTGTACCTGCAGAGCCATATGTTAGACCCACTCTTTCATGCACACATCTTCACCTCTCTCTGATGTATTTATCTTTTTCCTTCCTGTGTTATATCTGGATAGATTTCATTTTGTTTTTTTGATCTGCCTTTCAGTTCACCAATTTCACCTTCAGCAGTGTATAACCTGGTAGTAAAGTTGTTCATAGCTTTAAATTTTCCACTCTTTTTTCTTTCCTTTATAGAGGTTTTATTTTATTTTAAATTTATTGGTCATTTCAATAGTCTCTCGCTCCTTATTCATGTTTCTAGTTCTCTCTTTTTGGAGAGAGATTTTTGCTATTAGGGTGCATGTGCTCACTGGAGAGACAGAGAGAGACAGAGGGACAAAAAGTGAAAAATCACCCCCCGGGGGGATGGCCATGCTGCAGTCCCTTCTCCTCCATTCTCCTCCTGGGATCTAGGTCACACATGCACATATGCCTGGTGTGAGTTTGAAACCACCGGGTCTAGGACTCAAACCGTGGTTGGCCATGTGGGAGTCTAGCGACATAACCACCATGCTATCTGCTGGTCCCTCCATTTACCTTTTATCTAATTGTAACAAGTGCCTTCATTTATATTCTGTCTGATACTTTCAATATCTGAGGGCTTTCCTAGGCTCATTTTGCTGCCTCTTGTTCAAGGTGCTTTGCTTCCTTGTGTTTTTGAGTTTTATTGTTTGTTATCACTACGAGCACTAATTCTGAGTATTTTATTTGTGAGGAATCCTTTGAGGCCTGAAGTGAAAGTAAGCTTCTCTGGAGAAGATTCATAGTATCTCTATTGAGCATCCATGTCTGATGGCGCCAAGGGCCAGTGTGGTCAATCATTGTTGATCTCAATGACCCCGCCCCTCTGAACCCAGCAGACTTGCCCAGTACATCAAATAAGGAGTTTACAGAGCACCTGCCATAAAGAAGTTATTGCTTCTTGACACTATTAATTCAAAATCATTTTAGGCTAAAGCATCAGCCTGAGGTCTTTTGGATGATCCACAAACACACCATTGAGTTCATATTTAGATTAGTGTAAATTCAGGGTTAGAAATTGCATTCAGCAGTTAGCATAATGGCTATGTCACTGGACTCCCATGTAGTTGACCGTGGTTCAAGTCCCAGACCCGGTGGCTTAAACTCACACCAGGTGCGTGTGCATGCATGCCCAAGATCCTGAGAGGAGAATGGAGGAGAAGCGATTGTGGTGTGGACATCCCCCCTGGGGGTTATTTCACACTTTCTGTCTCTCTGTCTCTCTTTGTCTTTCTGGTGAGTGCACGCATCCTATAGCGAAAAAAACCTCTCCAAAAAAAGAAAAAGAAATTGCGTAAGAGCTGAAGCATAGTTCTGGATGTTCAGTAGAATTTCGTGTTGTTTCCCCTTCACTCAACACCAAGGATTTTGATAAGAAAATTTCCTTCTAATAGCTGAAGGGAAGAAAGGAAGAGCTTAGTTTAAGTCTCGTTCACCTTACTCTGCAGATGGAGCCCTATGAGGTTCCAGATTTAAGTGACTTGTCTCCTTTTAGACTTCCCCTTTAAAAAGTGTTATCACCAAAAAAGTTTATCTAGCATTTTACATGTTTTCAGTGGGAGGGTAGGTCGGGATGTTGGACTGCCAAACTGTAGGAGATGGAAGTCTCCGTTTAAGATGAACTGTGTGACTCTTTCAGAGAGGAACATGATCTGCAACATTTCCCAAACTCATCTGCCCATGGAACCTTTGCTTTGAGGATGATCATGTAGGACGGAACGCCACAGTATTCACCTGGGGAAATTCTGAACTAAAGAAACAAAATGCTCTCAGTAGTTTCCATTCCAGTCATTCAACAACCATGTACTACTACGAGAGACTCCACTAATGACTCCCTGCACGTGGCAAGATCACGTAAGGAGTGTAACCCTCACAAACGCGTTTCGTGGTGAGCACTGTAAGTACCTCTAGCATACAGACAAGGAAGTGGAGTGCCAGAGAAGTGAGACCACAGGGCCGAGGTTATATATTAGGTCAACTCGGTAGTTGGAATGGCAGTGCTGGGTCTGAACCACAGGTCTGGGTGTTCCCTGTTCCTCTCCTCCTTCTACCCCTGCTACATCTGAAACAACCCAGCAGACCACAGCAAAATGTGCTAGATCCAGGAAGTGGAAGAATTCTCCATGAGAAAAAGCAATGAAGTACTGATATAAGCTATGGCAGGCATAAATCTTGGAATCACACAAAATGAAAGCAGTCAGTCACAGAAGGCCATGTACTCTGTGATTCCACTCACAGGGAGGTAGAGTAAGGAAGTCTATAGACAGGAAGTAGATGAATGGTTTAGGGCCAGGGAGAGAATGGGGGAAGGAGGGTTCTAAAGCCAATGGTGTGGTGATAGCACAACTCTACAGACATAAAAATCCACTGGCTTATACACTATGTGGGGGAATTGTATGCCATACAAATACCAAAATTAAGCTGTCAAAAATATCTGTGGAAGGAACAAAATATTTTCAGTGGTACGAATCACTGTATTTCTCAAGTGAATTTTTTTTTTTTTGCATTGTTGTTTATCCCAGTTCATTCTGATCATTGCTTTATTTAATCTCTTCTACAGGGAAGATTCTCTGTCCCCCTTCCCCAAGTGACCTCTAGGCCAGGCTTCATCACTGGCTTCATGACACAACGTGTCCTGCCCACACCTACCCAAGACGCAGGAGTTGTGGTATTCATCCGCCTGACTCTGGTACTCCAGGATCTTCTTGTTGATGTTCTCAGCACACTGGTCAAAGGTTTCAGACATGCAGTCAGGCCTGGTGACTGGGCGCCTCTCTTTGCGATAAAATTCCTGCCAAGAGAAGGTCGACCATGAGTAAAGACCCTCTCCGTGGGACCCTGGCCCTCATTCCTGGGACCCACCTGCCTGCTCCCGTCTCCACAGACACTCTTCCTATCCCATCTGCCCTGTCACGTTTCTCAGTATCCTGGGGCCACATAGTGTGTGACTTACACAGTCCTCATTATTTCTAGAGTGAGTGAATAGCAAATCCTATGTATCCATCAGGACCCAAGCTGATGGACTCTCAAATTGGTGGCCAGCCTGGGAGCTTATGAAGCTCCAAGCTGAGCACAGCTGTGGTCCACAAAGATGGACAAGCCAGAGGCCCTATCCTAAAGGACTCCCTGCCCATGAGAAGCAGATAGGAGAACGCACCAGCACTGTGTGGAATATGCTGGGGCGTGGTGCTGGCCAGCTCCTCTCAGGCCCCTAGATCCTGAGCTTACAGCCCCAACTGGCTCCCTATGCGCCTGCCATATCTGCTGGCCTCCTACTGTCCCAGGGGCTTTGGGACAAAGGCTAGACCTGTTTCCCTTGACATACCCAGAAACTGTTATGCAGTTGGTGTCCAAGAAATGACTGATTAAGTGAACACATGAATAAATGCTTAATGGATGGGTTTAATTTACAGGGGAGAACAAAATATCCCAGGTGGGGAGACTGGGGAGCTGTAAGCGTGGGTGGCTAGGGGTGGGGGTAAATTCTCCCCTCCTCATTTCCCCTGAGCAGCCATATGTTGCAGAAGGCAGGAGCAGCCTGTTTCCAGGGTGGACGCAGGTTGGCGAGGCAGGGGCCTCACCTCCGCGACAGCCAGCAGATGCTCGTTGCTCTCCCAGAGGAGGGTCAGGATGATCCCTTTAAAATCCCTGCAACACACACGAGGCAGATCCCTGAAAGGCCCCCTCTAGACACAGCAAAGGAACAGAACATTCTGAGTGCTCTGTTCTGGATTTGTCCCTCCTGGTAATAACTCACTGCTACTCCAGGATCTTTGCACACTCTGACTCCTCTCCAAAAAAGCAGCTAACTTCCTTGATTGTGCTTGTTCCTGCTCTTACTGAGATCCCAGCTTAGCACCGACTCCTGACTGCCTAGTTCTAACACTCTTAGGGCACCTCAGCCCTACCGGGCTCTAATCAGGCAGACGTGGGATTGACTTGTGTGACTGACTGATTAACCCTCAGCTCTGCTGGCGGACTGTAAAGTTCATCAGGTGCTGGAAGGATTGAGAAGCCATTAGGCTAAACAGCCCAGTGCCTTGGGTTCCTAAGTAAGTAAACCAAAACCCAGCTTGCAGTGGGTGCTCATAGTCTCAGAAAATGAAGCTGCAACTCAACCCATCAGCAATAGCTTACTAACATTTTTTTATTTTTCATTGCCAGAGGGCACGTGCATTTGGCAAAGACAGAGAAATAGAGAGAGAGGAAGAGAGGGAGAAAACACCGCCCTAAGGGGGGAGGTCAAGATCTTTTCTTTCAAATAATTACTTTATTTAACTTTATTAATTATTTTTATTATTTTCCAGTTGGATCAGACAGAGAGAGAGAGGGAAAGTGAGAAAGCAAGCCACCAGGTCCAGGACTTGAACTGTGGTTGGCCACGTGGGAGTCCAGTGCCTTTAACCACCACGTCACCTACCAGCCCCAAGGGGGCGTGGTCAAGGTTTTGATGGTGTGGGAATGTCTTTTAGAGGATGAGAGAAGGGCATGGTCCATTTCATAGGTGACCCTGGGCCACCTGATAGGAGAGAGCTCATGAGAAAAGGGTCCTCTATGGTGAGGTTCCTGTTTCATGGGGAGTCGGGGTGCCACTGTGAAACTCGACTTTCTCTGAGGACTTTTAGTTTCCTGAACTTGAAATTTTGTTTGTTTGCTTGAAATGAAGGCATACTAAATGGGCCAGATTTTCGTTTAATCACTGAAATTGTAGTGAAGGAAAAGGGAAAAAAAGTATCGAAAAACATGAAACAAAACACCCGAACCTCAAAGGCATTTGCTGCCCTGTTACTGTGAAATCCTTACCTTGGAAAATGTGAATTTATAGTAAAAATGTCTCTCCACAAACTTAGAAGAAATGGGCTGAGACAAACTGACCTTGACCCTTACCTGCCCTCAGCCCCCAGCCTCTTTCTCTCTTTTATAAGCTTCATACTTTCCTCTCAGCCTGAGTCAGACGTGGCCTCCCCCTGACTGAAAATAGGGGTGGAATGGAGCTAAAGAGAAAGTCATTGTCACTCACTCAGCGGGAGGTGGAGACTTGTCCCCGAGCACCAGGTACTTTTTGTCTATTTTGTTGATCTTGGAGTGCCGTGTGAAGCTGTGAGACAAAGGCAGGTCAGTGCTCTGGGTCTGGGGACAGGTACAAGGCAGGTCTGAGCCTGCACGAGCCCTGCCTGGGCTGCTGGGGGGGCTAGCTCTGCCGACGGGGCAACTTGATTCCCATTTCATGGACCAAGCCCTTCAAAATAACTTCCTAACCCGCAACAGCTCTGAAGACAGCCTCATTGTGGGATGAAGCCTTTACACAACCAAGGCCACTTGGGGATGGCAAGGACCCCAGAAATGTGCATCCTTGAAAATGTCTCTTTTGAGGATCCAGAGAAAAACAGGTTGAGCAGCAGGGAGGGTTGCCAAATTTAGTGAATAAAACATGGCCCATTCAGTTAAACCCGAGTTTCACGTAAGCAAAAAGCCATTTTTAGTGTGAGTATATCCCAGTCAACATGTGGCATATAGCTATACTAAAAAATTAGATGATGTCGAACTGAAATTCCAGTTTAACTGAGCACCCTCTCTTTTACCTGAGAGCCTAGTGACATGGACTTTTTACCACCTTTGAGGGACTGGATACAGAAACAGGCAATGGCTGGGTCATAATGAGAAATTGGACTCTGACCTACAACCTACAGCATTCCCACGATAATCAGCCCAGGAAGTCAGTCTTACATCAGATTTGCCGGATGTCAGATTGAGAATTTCAAGTGACAGTCCAGGATAATAGACCCCAAATGACCAGGATTTATTCATCAATGACAGCTCCCCTAGCTTTTGTCCCCATTTTTAACCTGGGAGAAACCAGAGAAAGCCAATCCCATAGGACGCTGCTTTGACCTGGCCGGCCTCCAGCCTCCCCAGGCCAGGGCCTCCAGTTAGGGCACACCTGGAACCTTCCCAGTCCTCCAGTGTGCAACTTCCCACTCCTCTTCCTGCCCTTGGTGCCCCGCTCCACAGCAACTGAGGGAGGCCGACTCCCTGCGGTAGCTCTGACTCAGCCTTCACTCTTCCCATTTGGTTGGTCTTCATTTCTCTTCATAGCATGTGTGTTCAAAAAAGAGGTGGTAAAGGGAAGCAGGGGTTCCCCTTACTTTCTCGAAACCAGGGATTAAACCATATCAACCAGGGTTTATCAGAGACTGGAAAGTTAGCCGAGCCATGTGGCTTCTGTGCTCCATAGAGTCCACGTGCAGGGGTTGCTGGCCCTGACCCCAGTGGGGCAGAGTGGGCAGACGCAAGGCCAGATTGCTGGGGCCCTGGGTTCTTTCTGCAGCTCTGTGCTGCTACTCTGGGAAGTGTCTGCTCCGTGGCTCCAGCAGTCCCTCTTTCTAACCATGACCATGTATGTGGGGAGTTAGCGGGGCTGGGAGCCACGTGGGGTTGTCATGGACAACCACTGACCTCCAGGTGGGAAGCCTAAAAAACTCAAACCTGACTAAAGCCATCATTAGAGCCAGCCCCTCCCTCATGGGGCCCCTTGGAGTCCCAGAGGCAGAGACAGGTGGTACATTCTGAAGACAGAGTCTGGGAAAGTGACAGGGACAAGTTGTCAGAGAAAGTGTTTGGGGACAAACTACAGACCTGGGAAGCAGAGAATCCAGGCAGCCCTGTGGCCCTACCTCCCTGCCGAGGTGGCACTGGCACTGGGCATGGCCCTCTTCGCAGAGTTATCTGACCGGCACCGATGTCGCTTGAAGCCTTTGAGTGACAGGTTCCCAGGACAAAAGCAGAGAACAGGAAGTGAGGTTGGGCCACACAGCACCAAAAGGTATCCTACCACCGGCTGCCCCGAAACCCATAGGTCTGCTCGCTTCTACCTGTCTGAGAGCGATCCTTGTCACACGGATGGGCTGACCATTTTATGTTGGGAACTCTGTAACCACAGGACAGGATGTGAGATTCTCACAGCAATCATGGATAGCCAACTAGTCCTCAGTACCCCCTGAGTCCTCTCAAGAGCCCCATTTCAGATGACAGACTGAGACTCTAAGAGGAGATGCCCCTGTCTGAGGTCACAGGCTCTCAGAGTGGGCTCACCTGGGGATCCCAAGGTGTGAAACCCCAAAGCCACTTACTCCCTGAGGCTTGGGGCCATGGGCCATGGCAGTAAGGCCCACTGGGCACCCTAGAGTCACTCACTGCAAGATCTTCTTGACCACCTCCACAGCTGGGTCTTCAATCATGGATTTTCCCATGCGGCTCGGCTGGGCGAAAGACTCAGGGGCGACCAGGTCCCCCTTGGCTTCCTCCTCAAAGGCTTCTGAAGATACCAGGATGTCACTCTCTTCCAGCTCATTTAAGGTGGTGTCCTGCAGGCCAGAGAGAAGAGCCCGAGTAGACAGGCAGCAGCTGACGTGCTAGGGAGGCAGCAGTCTGGGTTCGATTTCTATCCTTACCTCACTCCAACACAGTGGCTAGAGGCATGCTGGCTGACCTGTTTAGCCTGTTTTCCCTTTCTAAAAAATGGCATTGGTCAGGACCAGCAGTTAGCGTAATGGCTATGTCTCTGGACTCCCACGTAGTTGACCACAGTTCGCGTCCTGGACCTGGTGGCTTAAAACTCACGCCGGGTGCGTGTGCGTGCATGCCCAAGATCCCGAGAGGAGAATGAAGGAGAAGGGATTGTGGTGTGGCCATCCCCCCTGGGGGGTGATTTCTCGCTTTCTGTCTCTCTGTCTCTCTCTGTCTGGCGAGCGCATGCGCCCTATAGTGAAAACCTCTCCAAAAAAAAAAAAAGATAAAATGGTATTGGTCATTGCCCTCAGGCACAGTTCATTCATTCATTCCTTCACTCATGCCTTTGAAACGACTTCCTGACTGCTTACTCTCCACAGGTCTCTGGCTGTCCTGGGGATACAGGTGGGAAAGCCACATGTGATACGCACCTCCACAGATCTATAGTCTATTAGAAGAGACAGGCATTTTGGGGCCAGCAGGTAGCATAGTGGTTATGGCACTGGACTCCCACATAGCTGACTGCAGTTTGATTCCTGGACCCAGTGGCTTGAAAAACACACCAGGTACATGTGCACGTGTGACCAAAATCCTGAGAGGGGAATGGAGGAGAAGGCATTGCGGCGTGGCCATCCACCTCGGGAGTGATTTCTCACTCTCTCTCTATGAGTCTTCAGCAAGCAAAAATCTCTCTAAAAAAATAAATAAAAACAAATAAGTAACCATAAAGATGAGAGAATGAATGAATGTGTGTCTGAGTGAGGGTCAACTCTCTCAGGAGCAGGGCCAAAGTTTGGGGTTGGTGCCCATAGTGAGCACTTAGTAGGGCTGTTCCCTATTCTGCCTTGAGACTTGCCTCAGCAATGACCTGTAAGCCCCTGAGAGAAGATTCCAGGCTGACCCTTGAAGCCTCCTCTGGCCAGTTGGGCACAGTACTGGGGGTGGGTGGATGCTTAGTGCTTCCACAGAAGGGCTGGCCAAGCCTTGACCAGGATCTGCAGAGCCCCTTTCTGTAGCCATCAGTTCTCTGGACTCCCCTGGGAGTTGGCTGAGCACCTATGTGGGCAGAGCCTGGTGTGAGGGGCAGGACAGGGATGAAGGCAACCCATGCTCTGTCTTCTTGGGTTTCCTAGTCTTGGGGCAGACCTCACTATGTGGTTTGTGGACTCAAGAAGAAGTGGGAGGTGCTAGGGGTACCAGGAGACCCCAAATCAGACCAGAGAGTGCGAGAAAGCTTAGGGAGAAGTGATGTCTAGGCAGGGGTGAGAGAGATGAAGAGGCCATGGAGGAGGACCCCAGGGACTGTGTGCCCTGGTTAAAGGGTTTGAACCCTACCATTAGGGCAGGGGGGGTTGACACAGTCAGACTGGTCTATACTCAGGGAATGGACCATGGGAGGATGTCTGAGGACAGGGCAGCCAAGTGAACAGGAGACCAGGTCTTGGACAAGATGGTGGTAGTGGGATAGGGAGAAGCTGGAGGCTGTTCCTGAGTGCAGGCAGGAGGAAGGGGCTGAGATGGGGCTGCCCTGGGAGCCCATGGACAGGATAGGGACACTGGAGGTCCGGATAGAGAAGAGGAAGTGATGCATGCTGGGAAGGAGGGGATCTCACAAGAGACCAGTGCAGGGCAGTGGCCCATCTGGGGTTTGATCTGGACTCACAGCCTGTGGACTTTCCATAGCACCCCAGCAGGCCCAAAGCCCAGCATGGGCCTGGAAGTGCCCTCTTCCCTTAGGCTCTGCAAAGTCCTGTGGGTGTCCTGAGAGCCCAGACAGCAGTCAGCCCCCTTCCCCACTACCCCATCCTGTTCCTTACAGTGAAGACCACCTGACTGACAGACACCATGTCCAGGCTGCAGTTGAGGTACTGAATCCTCTGGCTCAGCTTTTCTTTCCAAGTTCGGATCAAGCCGAGGAGGTCTTCTGTGGTCCCGATCTAGCAGGAACACAAAGGAAGAAAGCCCAAGGAAGCAGCCTGTGGGAGGGCAGACCTACTGCACCAGAGCTGCAGGAACAGGGGCTGGTCTGGTGAGGGGGCTCCTGGTACCCTGGAGGTCCATCACTTACAGGGAGGGCCCTGGGGGAGTGGCGAACTCTGACTGGCTCTCAAACAACTGCACTGAGGCAGTGGCTACTTCACTGACGGGGCTGTCGAGAGTTCTGTTCCTGGTTCTACACACTTGAGAAGTGACAGGCGATTCAGTCTTCCCATCCAACAGACGGGGACAGAATATTCCCTAGAATCTCCTCCAGCCCTAGCGTTTAGAAGGAACCATTTGGCTCAGGTAGTGAGGGTGCGTAGAAATGTGTAGGAGGGCGACTGAGCCCTCTCCACGCCAGCATTTAACCTGAACCACCCTCTTCTTGGAGCGGTTCCCACAGGGATGCACTCTCTTTTTTTTTTGAAGAGGTTTTTGCTATAGGGCGCGTGTGCTCGCCAGAAAAACAGAGACAGAAAGCGAGAAATCACTCCCATGGGGGAGGGCGGGACTGCCACGCCACAATCTCTTCTCCTCCATTCTCCTCTCGGGATCTTGGGCATGCATGCACATGCGCCTGGTGTGAGTTTAAGCCACAGAGTCCGGGACTTGAACCACGGTCAACTACATGGGAGCCCAGTGACACAGCCATTACACCAACTGCTGGTTCCCCAGGGACGCACTCTTGAGAATCCTCTTCTTTACCATGTACCCAAGGCCTTGCAAGTGTCTCTCAATCATTGCTCTGTGGAGGTCAAACCAGCTCTCCATCCACACAGGAACACCTGTATACCACCTGACCAAGGCTGGGTCACCCCCTGGCATCCACCCAACATCTGGAAAGGGGAGGACAGAGAGGGGCTTGGGAGGTAAGGAAATCCGAGAGACCAGATGTTTCTGTTCTGGAGAGGCAGAGCTCACCCCAAGGGGCCTGTGGAAGGGTCACAGTAGACTAACCCAGTTTTCTCCTGCTCCCCAGCGGCCGGGCTCCTAAGCAGCCAGGTAAGTCACGGGCAAAATATGGGACCCCTCCTTGCTCTGCACACCCTCCCTGCCTGTGGGTAAATGGGTGGAGATGTAGAAAGTGCACAGATAGACAAAAGAGAGTTGACGGGTTCTCTAGAAAATGACAGTGGGAGGGACCCTGTGCCCTGTGGATGTTTGACCTTTTCTCAAAAATCATGCATTAATCTACAGGAAAAGACAATACAGAGAGGAAGATGGTTGTCCTCCCAGTGCTAACGATAATGGAGTGATGAAATGGAAGAGAAGGAGACTGTGGAGTAAGCTCCCCACTGCGGGCCCCTCAAGGCAGGGCGTGTGGCTCTGGGATTGCGTGGCGGAGCTGCTGAGGACAGGACCCTTGGTGTGGCCAGGGCATGTATGAGGCGGGGTCAGGGATGCGTGCTCGTGACAAATAAGCACGGACATCAAGAGACCTGCCCTCTGACCAGGGGCCTGGCAGGCACTTAGGACCACACTTCTCCCAGACCTCGCTCCAATTCTGATTTGCCCCGGTTTCGATGGGGAAAAGCAGCTTCTGTGCCGCAGATGATCAAAAGAAACAAGTGAGAAGTCAAACAAAAAGTGGTGGTTGAGAGGGCAGAGCCTGCTTCTGTCACTCATCCAGGGCTGGGTTCTCACCAGAGTGAGAGGCACCTGGTGACACAGGCGGCGTAAGGTCAGAAAAGAAGACTCAGGCCCTCACACCCACTGGATGGGACGTGCCTGCCTGGGGCGTGGGTGGTGGTGGCTGGTTTTCTTTTGGTTCCTTCATTCCATTGAGTAAAACAGGGGCTAAATAGGAAGGTTCAGAGATCCCAACACTCCCTTCCTTGTCCCAGGCAAATCCCTCATGTAAGTAATCCCAGACAGGGGCCAGCAGGTGGCGTGGTGGTTAAGGTGCTAAACTCCCAAGTGGCCTATTGCAATTCAAGTCCTGGACCTGGTGGCTTGCTTTCTCACGTTGTCTCTCTCTCTCTCTCTCTCTCTCTGGTGAGCACACATGTCCTATAGCAAAATTTAAAATAATAATAACAATAAAATTAAATAAATAATTTTTTCAAAAAAAGGAAAAATCCCAGACATAAGTTTACTTCAAGTTTATGATTCAAGCGTGATGCACCTTAACTTGTCACCACAGGCAGGATCTACTGAGACTTACTGTTTTATCTCCCTTTGAGTCTCGACAAGTTTCTATCTTGCTCTGAAGCTGTTCCAGAGAAGAATTTAACCTATCCGTTTGTGAATTGGATTTTGCCACCTAAAAAAACAAAAGTTCTAAGATTTTGTTTCCATAATACATATTGTAATCAGGAAAATGTTCAACAACGTGTATTACCTGAGAAATTGATTAAGCCCTGAAAAAAATGAAAACGGGGGGAAAATGCAGTTTTACCAGAAACCAGGTCGATACAAATTTAAAATTTTTTTCCTGTCAAACAGGTAAGCTTTAAGCCCAGCCACAGTTGCATGAGTGAAAGGGCACCCCTGTGTGGTGGCTGAGGCCATATGGGAGCCCAGGGTTTGGTTCCCAACTCAACCTAAATAGGCTAGGAAGGATGGCATGCACCTGTGGTCCTAGTGAAGTGGGAGGCTGGGGCAGAAGAATTGCAACGTGGCAAGACCCTTTGAAAAATACTTATCTCAGGGGCTGACAGGTGGTGTGGTGGTTAAGACACCAGACTCCCACATGGCCGACCATGGTTCAAGTCCCAGGCCTGGCAGCTTGCTTTCTCAGTTTCCCTTTCTCTCTCTATGTGTCTCTCTGGTCAACCTTAGGTGCGTTGCTGTGCAAATAAAAAAAAAAAAAAAAAAAAAAAAAAAAAAAAAAAAAAAAAAAAGAAAAAGAAAGAAAGAAAGAAAGAAGAATAAGTAAAATTAAGTAATTCTAAAAAAAAACAAAAACAAAAAAAAAAACAAAAAAAACTCTTTCTCCCTGCTTCACCTTTCTCATCAAACATTTTTTTAAAAGTAAGATTTAAATAAATTTGACACCCCTGTGTCAAGAGAGTTGGCAGGGTTTCCCACCCTGGCATGTGGCCAAGTCTGCAAAGACCACCTGGAAGGTGTAGAGACAGAACACTCCTGCTCTGACCCAGATTCTAGCTCTCGGGAGGGGCCTCGAGGCCGTCGCCTGGGCGCCCGGGCCCAGTGCACGTCTCATAGCACCGGGCATCCTAACGAGAACTGAAGTTCATCAAACGTTCCTCTGGAAAGGAATGTCTCAGTAAGAAGGCAACACCTCCATGAGAGGGAACACAGCAAAATGGTTTCTGAGGAATCTTTAAAGATGAGCTCGTTTATAAAATTGTGTAAGGGGCCAATTCTGATGTATCGCCATTTTTTCATGCATAGAGAAAAGCTTAGAAACAAATCAAAACCTTAAGAGGTTGACCGTGTGGTAGAACTAGGGCTTCTGGGTTCCTTTTTTTTTTTTTTTAATTTGTTTTATGTTTTCAACATTGCCCATGATGGAAATGTAGTTTGCTATGCTATATTAAAAATGCAGCCCCTGCACACCATGAAAAGTCCTCACATGTCAGCTCGGATCAAGGAATCTGCTGGCACCAGCTGGAGGCCCATTAAAAACCTGCTCCTTAACTAAGGGGTGGGGAGACGTGGCCTAGATCTGGGCTCGGTTCCCTGAAGCTTTGCCCCCTGCCCACCTCTTCTGCAATGGCTGCAAACCTCCCCTGAGAGGCTCTTCTGGGACCTGCATCAAAGCCTGCCTTTACCGACGACGTGCTCAGTGTCAGGGACTGTGTCAAAAGAGCTCGACACACATTAGCTCATGTATAGGGCTGTGATCTCACGAGGTGCTCGTATGATTCCCATTTCACAGATGAGTGAATTAAGTGTTTCCTGGGGCTAAAGGGACAAGAGACTGGGATTGGAGTCCCCATTTCTGAGTCTGAGACCTCAGCAAATGCTCTTTCTTTTTTTAAAAAAATAATTAGCTATTTAATTAATTTTTCAAAAAACTTGTTATTATTATTTTCTAATTTGACCAAAGAGAGAGACAGAGAAAGAGAAAGGGAAAGTGAGAAAGCAAGCTGCCAAGTTTGGCTTGAACTGTGGTCGACTATGTGGGAGTCTAGGACCTTACCCACCATATCACCTGCTGGCCCCAGCAAATGCTTCTTTATTGGAATGCATCTGCCACTCCCAGGAGACAGACCTATTCTCATCAGTTCAGCTTGTCCAAGCCCCAGTGGGTCCTCAAATACTGCTCCCTGAATGGTGCCCTGACCTCTATAGATGACCCAGGCCCTACAGTTCCAGGGCACCCTGAGTCTCCCCCATTCTACCACCACTCATCTCTGGAACCGGAACGTGGTCTGCCAACATCTCATTTGGGCCACTGATCTCTCTACCTCAGCCTTGCATGCTGCCTTGCTCCCGCTTAACTCCAGGCTTTTTGCTGCCAGCAGCCAGAAGGCCCTTCTCACAGGAGCCCTGGAGCACACAGCCCACCACAACCCTTCCCTGCATCTTCACCTCCCCACCCTACCAATGTCCTGCTCCTGCTGGGCTGCAGGGGCTTCTCCAGCTTCCCAGCTCTCGCCCTCCTCTCCCTCCCCTTGGTTCCCCCACCCCTGGATTTTGCCCACTATCTCTCCAAGTCACTGGACTCCCCACTTCCCTGCCTGGCTGGCACCTATGTCTCCCTTAAACCTCAGGGAACTCCACTTTCCCAGCCCAGGCCGAGTTCTCTGTTCTATGCCCCCACACAGCCCTCTTCCTCTTTGGTCACACAAATAGCCTGTTTGTGGTTAAGGCCACTCTGGATCAGGAAGAACGGGGTTTACCTTCCAGCTCCGCCATTTAAGAGCTCTGCGTTCCTGCCTAAACTACTCAATTATTTTCTGCCTCAGTCTCTTTATCTTTAAAATGGGGATTAAAGACAGCACTTGTTGGGGCCAGCAGTTAGCGTAATGGCTATGTCGCTGGACTCCCATGGCTTAAACTCACGCCAGGCGTGTGTGCGTGCATGCCCAAGATCCCGAGAGGAGAATGGAGGAGAAGGGATTGCAGCGTGGCCATCCCCCCTGGGGGGTGATTTCTCACTTTCTGTCTCTATGTCTCTCTCTGTCTGTCTGGCGAGCACACGCGCCCTGTAGCAAAAACCTCTCCAAAAATTAAAAAAAAAAAAAAAGACAGCACTTGTTGTCTACAGTTCTCCTGGGACTAATCAGAATAAGCAGGGTTGCACAATGCACGGTGCACAATAAATGGAGGAAGGGGAGGCGATCCTACCTGGCACTTGATGTTCACCTGCAGATTCGTCAGCAGCCGCTGGATTTTCTCTATGAAAATAAGGTCCACAGACAGGTTATGGAATTTACTTTCAAACTTGTTGATGACATCATTGGCCTGTAGAGAAAGATAGGAAGTGGAGGAAGGGGGGGTCTTAATCTGGAACATTTGGATTCAGGAAGAGGAGGAAACAGGCCCAATTAATGATTGGAGAGAGGACGTGGTCCTGTCTTCAGAGGTGACCAGCAGTCCTGGGGGCTGCCTAGAGGAGGGGGTCCGGGCTCCCTCTACCTGGTCTAGGTACTCGCTCTCCATCTTCTCCATATTGATCATGATTAAACTTTCGACAAACTCTATCCGAGAAGCTTCCTTCTCCAGTCGATGACACAGAAATTCAATTTCTTCAGGAGAAAAGTTGCCTCCTTCAGAAAACAATCTGAAAATAATTGTAGAAAAATTAAAAGTCATCGATCCCAAATACTGTGGTTAATACACACTTGTAATCTAGGCTTTAAGTGAAACGCACAAGATAATAGGAAATTTAACGCAATAGCACAAGTACAGGAACGAAGGTTAGTGGACTGGATATCCCGAGAGACCCAGCTGGAACAAACAGCATGCTGGATAACATTTAAAATGAAAATCGTCATGTAAAGGTAAGAATTCTGCAGAGTCCCCAGATGAAGCAAAACCAGGAGGTCCCTTGGAATATGAATGGAGTCATAGCTGACCTTTGCCTGGGGTTTTGGTTTCAGCCTGGATGAATGCACAGGGCGAGGAGACAGCAGAGAACTGGCCCCCGAGGGAGACACTTCCACATGAAATTGAGTAAGAAACGAAGCCCAACAGATACCAGGGCACCAGCCTGTCTAGATCAGAGGACAAGGAGCGAAGCAAAATCTCTCCCTTAGAATTCTTCATCACAAACAGGACTTCATACACATTCATAGGCTGAATTCATGTCCTCTGGAGTGACCCACAAACTTCATAAACGGATTTTAGTTGGTCTTGGGTAGGTAGTGCCTAGTGTCTCCTCGTGCCTAGCAGAAACTATGAAGAATTCTCTCTGAAGGAACCCAGTATCAGTGCAGGCCTCAAAGAAAGCCACATAGGAGCTAGCAGACGGTGTACTGGTTGTGTCTCCCAAGTAGTTGACTGTGGACTGAGTCCCAGACCCAGCGGCTTAAAACTCACTCCAGGCACGTGTGCGTGTGTATCCAAGATCCCGAGAGGAGAATGGAGGAGAGGGGATTGCGGCGTGGCCATCCCCCTGGGGGTAATTTCTCACTTTCTGTCTCTCTGTCTTTCTGTCTCTCTCTGTCTCTCCAGTGAGCACACACACCCTATAGCAAAAATCTGTTTTTTAAAAAAGAAAACCACATAAAAGATCCCTAGGAAAATGAAGGTCTCTTAGTGAAAGAAAGAATAAAATACAATTAGAAGTGGAAATCTTAATAATTATAATTTAAAACTCAATGAATAGATTTACCAGAAGATTATACACACTCACAGAGTGAATCAGTGACTAGGAAGGACAGAATGAAGACATTAGCACAAGCAAAGCTAAACTATATGAGAATGACAAAAGGACATACGGGCCACATGCCAATTTATATTTCTACTTTTTGCTGCTTTTCAAATGTTCTAAAAACACACTGTTTTTATAATCATAAAAACTTCAGTAATATTTAAAATGAATGCAAATCTTACAGATATCAACAGAGACGGTGCCCACCACAATTGGCAGTGGGGAGGGGGGTGCTGTCACTCAGCATGTGTGCTAGAGTTCCAGTTCTGTATAAAATTATTAATAACAGTTTTTTGGCTCATGTATAAGTATGGGCAGGTACAAAATATATTTTTGGAGAGTTTCCACTTTTCACTTTATATACTTCTGTGTTCGATTATGCTACAATAGTAAAAGATTTGTGATTTTAAAAATTCACTCCAGGCACGTGTGCGTGTGTATCCAAGATCCCGAGAGGAGAATGGAGGAGAGGGGATTGCGGCGTGGCCATCCCCCTGGGGGTAATTTCTCGCTTTCTGTCTCTCTGTCTTTCTGTCTCTCTCTGTCTCTCCAGTGAGCACACACACCCTATAGCAAAAATCTGTTTTTTAAAAAAGAAAACCACATAAAAGATCCCTAGGAAAATGAAGGTCTCTTAGTGAAAGAAAGAATAAAATACAATTAGAAGTGGAAATCTTAATAATTATAATTTAAAACTCAATGAATAGATTTACCAGAAGATTATACACACTCACAGAGTGAATCAGTGACTAGGAAGGACAGAATGAAGACATTAGCACAAGCAAAGCTAAACTATATGAGAATGACAAAAGGACATACGGGCCACATGCCAATTTATATTTCTACTTTTTGCTGCTTTTCAAATGTTCTAAAAACACACTGTTTTTATAATCATAAAAACTTCAGTAATATTTAAAATGAATGCAAATCTTACAGATATCAACAGAGACGGTGCCCACCACAATTGGCAGTGGGGAGGGGGGTGCTGTCACTCAGCATGTGTGCTAGAGTTCCAGTTCTGTATAAAATTATTAATAACAGTTTTTTGGCTCATGTATAAGTATGGGCAGGTACAAAATATATTTTTGGAGAGTTTCCACTTTTCACTTTATATACTTCTGTGTTCGATTATGCTACAATAGTAAAAGATTTGTGATTTTAAAAATTATATACTTTAAAAAAAATAAATACAGCCTGTTGTAACAAATGTTAAAAACTAACTCCAAGATTATGTTCATCAAGAAGCGAGTTAAGATAACAATTAAAAGGGGAAAGAAAGGCCAATAAGCACACGGAAAGATCCTGAGCATCATTAATCATTATAAATCAACAACCGCACATGAGAACCATCTCACACCCATAAAAATGTTTTCCATAGAGATCAGGAGGTGGCATGGCAGTTAAGGTGCTGGACTTCCACATGGCTGATTGTGGTTTGAGTCCTAAACTGGGTGGTTTGAAGATCACATCAAAAACACTCGTGCATGCATGCCCAACTCCCAGGAGGAGAATGGAGAAGGAACTGTGGCATGGCCATCCCCCTTAGGGGTCATTTCTCATTTTCCCTCTCACCATCTCTTTCAGTCTATCTCTGGTGAACATACATGCTCTATGGTAAAAACCTAAAAAAAGGGGGGGGAGGGGGCAGTTGGTGGCATGGTGGTTAAGGGTGCTGGACTCCCACATGGCTGACTGCGGTTTGAATCCCAGACCCGGCAGCTTACTTTCTCACTTTTCCTCTCTTTCTCTCTCTCTATCTCTGTTTCTCTCACTCTGTCCCTCTCTGGTCAAAATTAAAATAAGTAAAGTTGAATAAAATAATTCCTTTTAAAAAAAGCCCCAGAAAATAGCAAACATTGGCAAGGATGTGGAAAGACTGGAATCCTTGTGTATTGCTGGTGGGAATGCAAAATGGTGCAGCTGGGTGTAGGATTAATGTTGTAGTTCCTCCAAAAACTTAACTTAGAAGGACCCTATGAGCCAGCAGTTCCACTTCTGGGAATAAACCCAGGACTACAATCAAGGCCTTGAACAGATGCCTATGCACCTATGGTCGGTGCACCATTGCTCACAACAGGTAAAAGGTGGAAACAGCCCAAATGCCCATCGACACATGCGTGAGTACACAGAATGTGGTAAATACACACAGACAGAATATCGTGCAACCTTAAAAAGGAATGAACTCTGACTCCCGATACGACCCAGAGGAACCTTTGAGACATGATGCTAAATCTAAAAAGCCAGACACAAAAACCAAATATCACGTGATTCCATTTATGGGCTACCCAGAGTACCCAGACTCACAGAGACAGAAAGCAGAACAGTGGTTGGCAGGGGCTGTGGGAGGGGGAGGTGGAAGTTGGTGTTTAATGACACAGTTTCACTTTGTGAAGGTGACAGAGGTCCAGAGATGGATGGTGGCGACGGCGTCACCCAAGGCCAATGTTCTTAGTGCCACTGAGCTGTTTACCCACAGATGGTTAACATGGTAAATGTTAGGTAATGTGTGTTTTCCCACAATAACAAATTAAGGAGGACACAAGACCACCTCCCTACAGAGAAAGCCGGTGGTCTGAAGTGAGCCCGGACACCAGGTCCCACCTGCAGTGCTTGACGAACTCAATGTTGGTGTAGCGGAGTTTGCCCAGACTCTCCTCCAAGTACTGGCGGAAGCTGCGCAGGGACACCTGGATGACATCGACGTAGCTCAGCAGCTCTCGGTGCAGCGTGCTGCTCAGGAGGACCAGCCTGTGGTGCACAGAGAAAGAGCAGAGAGGCATGACCAGCCTGGAGACACGAGAAGGCAGGTGGGGACCTGGCCTGGGAGGGCGTCCTGAGAGGCCGCTGGAGCGCCACAGCCCGTGCCCAGCTCCGGGGCCACCAGGAACACTGCCTAGCATCTTGGGGTGACAGAGGGGGCAGCAGAAGGGAAGGGAGTTCAAAATGCCATTGTGTGCAGGACAGAGTTGCTCTGTGTGTGCTGGATCAGCGGGCAGAAGTCTCCTCTCTCTGACCCCTGATGCCAGATGGACAAAGGAATCTTAAGCCATACTGAATCTTCATCCTCCCTCCAGCAGGCTCTCTGACCCTGGCAACATGGCCCCCATGCCCCACGATCCCGACAGAGTGCCTTCAAGTGTCCTCTTTACAACCAAGCCAGCCTGACCCAGCTGCCCTTGTGTGCCTGCCAACTCCTCCCTGTGACTCAGCTTCATCTCAGGTCCCTGAAGGGCCTTCCTGGTGCCCCCTCTCTACCCGAAGCTTGGCCATTGCTCCTTCTCTGATGGGAAAACTCAGCTCCCTTTCACCTTCATCCATCCTAGGCCAAGGCACTGATTTCATCTCAAATGACCCCTCCTGCAGGAAGCCCTTCTTGCTTTTCCTTGAGAGAAAGTCGTCTTTCCCACCACTGACATTTATGGCACGTCAGAGACCGCACCCTCACAGGCTGTGTGCACCCTTTTCTTTCTCTAGCTGCTCACCCCCATGCCCCCAGATATTTCACAGTTCAATGCTTCGACTCTCATGAAGAGGTAAATTCAAAACGAGGTGCCTGTGGTGCGCTCTGCTCCTTTGTCTGTGGGGAGAGATCCACAGCTCCTTTGAAAGCAGCAGCTGGGCTGGGACTCTGCAGCCCCACAGCCAGGACGGACTCCCAGGGCCCCTTACTTTTGGCTCCGCGTGGCATTCAAGAAGATATGCTCCATGTCGTAAATCTTGCGGCGGAAGTTTTTGCTCCTAGCGCTTTGCTCTTCTTGGAACTTGCAGAACATCAGCCTCTCCTTCTTCAGCGTCTCCATCACCCCAGTACAGTGGCTGTCCAGTCGCTCTTGATGGAGCAAGAGCTCAGCTGGGAAAGGAGGAGGAGAGCTGGGGGCCACGGGCACGGGCTCACCTCAGCGCATTCCTTTCTGGAGCAATCCTGAAATTGTTCCAGAATCCTCTCCCCTTGTCCTGTCCCGGCCGACCTCCTCAGGGCTTAGGCTGAGAGTGGACTCTGACCTCAGCCAGGCCCATCTGAGGGCCCTGCTGTGAGCAGGGAGCCCCCTGCTGGTGGAGACATCCTGTCTACAAAGCCAGGGAGCCCAGGCTCCTGGGGAGCAGCCAACCAGCAAGGGCAAGGTGTGGGTAGGACTGAGGTCTCGACCAACGAGCACATGGCGGCTCTTGGTGAGGCTGGAGATCCAGGCAGGTGGGCACAGAAGTACACACGAAGCTGGGCAGCCTGGATTTGTTCCTTTCCACGTGTGGGTACTCAAGTCCAGTGAGCCTGAATCCCACTGGCTCCAGGTGGAGGAGAAAGGGCCTTTCAGACTCCGGGGCAGCAGCTGAGTACACAGAGGCCCCAGCTCCCCTCAGCTCATTTCCCTAAGGTCTGGCGCATTGGAAGTGCTCTGGCCACAGCTCTGTCAAAAATGAATGGTGTGAGGGGCCAGCGAGTAGCGTACAAGCGAAGGCACTGGACTCCCGCATGGCTGACTCCTGGTTTAAGTCCTGGACCCAGAGGCCTGAAACTCACACGGAGCGCGTGTGGTCGCTTTCTCTCTCTGTCTCTCCAGCAAGCGCATGTGCCGTGTAGCAAAAATCTCTTTAAAAAAAAGGTGATGCTGAGACTACATTTCTTTCTTTGGTTTTGACTTCTATTCTGTGCACTGGGTCGGGGGCCTAGGCGGGGAAGGGAACCAGCCTCAGGGGCTTCTACTCATGCATCCAGTCTTTTCCTCCTCAGTATGTTGGGGCACACATGCTCCGGAGGAGGGTGATATCAGCAAGCTGCCTGATCCCCAGTGCTGGGATTCGGGGGCCAGTCATCTCACATGACTCTCACTGCCCCAGGAAGCAGGGGTCTGGATGGGACGTGCCAGGGCTCTCTGCTCCGGTGGAGTTTGGAGTACGATGTGAGTGAACCACAGAAAGGGTCATTGATGGGTCTACGAAAAGGTTTTCCTTCCCTCCAATAATGGAGCTCACCGCCTGAAATAGATATGGCTTTTTCCCCCCATAGGATACATGTACTCACTGGAGAGAGACAGAAGGAAAGAAATCACCCACCCCAGGGTGGGCAGGGGGAGATGGCGACACCTCAATTTCTTCTCCTCCATTCTCCTTTCGGGATTATGGGCATGCATGTACATGTGCCTGATGTGATTTTGAAGCCTCCAAGGCTGGGACTCAAACCATGGTAGGCCTTAACCACCATGCCACTTGCTGCCCCCACGCCTTTCTTTTAAAGCACGCTAAGCGATAAGGTAGAAATAATGGTTACTGCTTTTGGAAGCTGGGTCTTGCACTAGCTGCTTCTGATTCGGCACCATGCCGTCTCAGGAGGGCGAGTTATTACCTCCAACACTCCTGCAAAGGGGTCAGATGGGACGGGTAACCTGCACAGTCACAGCCTGAGAGGTTGGTCCTGAGAGCTTCAGGCTGGCCCCTCGAGTGTCACTGCGAGGGTGTAATCCGACAGTGGTGCTGGCAGGTCTGAGATCCGAGAGCTGGAGGACAATTCATCTCAGCACCTCTTTAAAAAATAAAAGTTGAGGGGCCAGATAGTGGCACAGCAATAAACTGTGATGCTCTGTGAGGCTGCCCACAGGGGAAAAATATACATTTTTTTTTAAGAAATAAAAATAATAAAAAATACAGGTCTTCAGGTGGAGCAATGGTTAAGGTGCTAGACTCCCACGTGGCCTACTGTGGCTTGAGTCCTGGAACCGGAGGCTTGAAACTCATGCCAGGCGCGTGTCTTGCATGCCCAAGATCCCGAGAGGAGTATAGAGGAGAAGGGATTACAGCATGGCCATCCCCCCAAGGGGCGATTTCTCATTTTCTATCTCTCCAGCAAGCATACATCCTTTATAGCAAAAATGTATCTAAATAAATAAATGAACAAATAAATAAGTTAAAATAGGAATAAACATTTTTGTGTGAGAACCTTCATATCCCACCTCTGTGATGTGATAACATGCTAAATGCTGTGTTGTGTGAACCAGGGCAGCTAATGGGCGGTGGAACAGATAATGTGGAAAGGGTCTGGGGCCGGCCAGCCTTCCCAGGCAGGGTCTATACCTGCCCTAACATTGTGGATGTCCTTTTCAACGTGTTGAGTTCGTGGCTGGTGCAGGTGCAGGCGCAGCTCCAGTTCTGAATCCAGCTCGTCCACCTTGGTGGTCATGATGACCCGGGAGTTGAGGACACATTGGTCAAACCACTTCTCGAGGTGCTCAAACAAGCCAGCTCGAATTCTGAGGGAGAGACCAATGAGAGTCAGCCCTGCCAGCAATCACGTGTGAAAGATCTCTCCATAGCGAGACCCAAGGAGCTTCACCCTCTCACTCTTCCTTCCTGTTTTATTCCGCAATACGTTGTGTTGCATCGTGTGGATGGACCAGAACACTGCTGGAGAACACGGGGGTTCAACCTCTTGTTCTTACAAGAAGGCTACCATAAATGACCTTGCACATACGTCCAATGTGCAGGCGTCTCTATGGGATAAATGCCCTGAACTGGGTTTACTGATCAAATGCATTTAAAATGTGTTTGTGGTTCCAGTAGATTTGGCCAAACTGTTTCCATTGGATGGTAATTTGTGTTTTTATCGTCAATGAATAACGAGAGTTGTTTGTCTACAGCTTCAGAGTATATCGCAAACTTTTGATTTTGGGCATTTTCATCATTATGACTTAGACATCATATTTACATGTGTTTAAAGGTATTTATTTTTCTCTGTTCTTTCCATTACTGTCTGCTCCAGTCCATTCTCTGTTGCTAAAAAACGGGATACCTGAGTCTGGTGTGATTTATAAAGAATAGAAGTTTGTGTAGCTCACTGTTTTGGAGGTCCAGGGTCAAGGGGGCCATGAAAGGTGAGGATCTTGTTAGTGGAGGCTCTCTGCCGAGGCCCAAGGTGGTGCAGGGTGTCACGTGGCAAGAGCTGAGTGTCTGTGTTCACGTGTCTATCTCACTCCATCTCCTTTTAAACCCACCAAGACCCAAGCACAGGGGTTCCACCCTGATGATTTTAATCCTAATTGCCTCTCAAAGGCTTTACATTTAATCGCATTGTTGGATTAAGTTTTTGTTTTTTCTTAAAGAGAGATTTTTGTTATAGGGTGCATGCGTTCACTGGAGAGACAGAGAGAGACAGAAAGTGAGAAATCACCACCACCCCCAACCCCAGCCACGCGGAGGGATGGTCATGTTGCAGTCCCTTCTCCATTCTCCTCTCGGGATTCTGGGCATGCACGCACATGTGCCAGGCATGAGTTTTAAGTCACCAGATCCAGGAATCGGACTGTGTTCAACTATGTGGGAGTCCAGCAACATAACCATTACACCAACTGCTGGTCCCTCAGATTAAGTTTTTATCTTCCTAATCCTGTCTTTTTTTTTTTTTTTTTTGACAGGTTTTTTGCTATAGGACAGACAGAGACAGAGAGACAGAAAGTGAGAAATCACCCCCCAGGGAGGATGGCCACACCACAATCTCTTCTCCTCCATTCTCCTCTCAGGATCTTGGGCACATATGCACACGCGCCCAGCGTGAGTTTTAAGCCACCAGGTCCAGGACACAAACCGCAGTCGACTACATGGGAGTCCAGCGACAGCCATTTCGCTAACTGCTGGTCCCCCTAACCCTGTCTTAATCAAATTTCATCAAGTAAATGTTGGGAGGACTTTCAACAATAGCAATGTCTTTTTCCCATTTCTCTATTGTGCTCTCTACTGTGGTCTCGTTTTTTTTCTCATAAATTCCTAGGAGGACTTTATATATTGGGAACATGAGGCCCGTTGATGTGAGTTTGCAAATATTATTTCCCAGTTCATTGTTTTTTTCTTTTAATATGTATGGTGATTTTTTTTGTCCATGTGTTATTAAGATGTCAGTTATCCTAAAATTGATCTATAGATCCAATGCAATAACAAAAGGGGGAAAAGAATCTCAGCAGCTGTTTTTTCATGAAAACTATTACAAGCTGGTTTCAAAATTTATATGGATGGGGTGGCAGGTGATGTAGTGGTTAAGGTGCTTGACTACCACATGGCCAACTGTGGTTCAAGTCCTGGGCCCAGCAGCTTGCCTTCACTTTCCTTTTCCTTCTCTCTCTCTCTGGTTAAATTAACATAATAATAACAAATAAAATTAAATAAATACATTTTTTTAAAAAAAGTTTATATGGGAACACAACAGGCTGAGAATAGTGAAGACGATCTTGGAGTAGATCACAGTTGGAGGACTTCAACTCTCAGCGATTGAGACTCCATTACAATAATAAAGCAGTGTGATAAGTGTAAGGACAGACACAGAGAAAAATAGAGAGAAGTGATGCCAGAGCTGCTGGGGACAGGAGAGTTTTCTCAGAAAATGGCACGGGGTTAATCTATTATCGATTAATAGATCAATCTGGGCTCCTGCCTCACACCAAAATGAAATATCAGTTCCAGGTGGATTTTAGATCCAAGTATGAAAGTTTAGAACAATAATATTTCTAATACATATAACATTGGAGAATATTTTCATTACTTTGGGGCAGGCAAAAATGTCATAGATAGGGCACAAGTAAGCCAATATAATGAAGAAAGTTTATAAATTGGTGCTAATTGAAAGTAAGCACTTCTCTTCATCAAAAGATGGCTTTAAAGAGAGAGAAAAGCATGAAGTAGAGTGGGCTGAATGTATTCATCTGACAAAAGGCTCATAAAGGAATATGCAACTAACGTCTACCACTTAATAAGAAAAAAGACAATCCAGCAGGAAAAAATGGCAAAAAAGAATTGACTAGATATTTCCTCAAAAGATAATCAAATGACCAACAAGTATAGGAAAAGTTGCATAATGTCATTCCTTATCAAGACGAGCCAAATTAAAATCACGATGAGACACCACCATAATTACACCAGAAATGCTCACATAAAAACAACGATGACACCAACTATTGTTGAGGATGAAGAACAAATGGCACTCTCACACTGTTGTAAACTGTGAAATTGTTGAGACCATTTTTAAAAACCCTTTGGCAGGGCTGGAAGGTGGTGTGGTGGCTAAGGGCGTTGGACTCCCACATGGTCGACAGTGGTTTGAGTCCCAGATCTGGCAGCTTGCTTTCTCAGTTTCTCTCACTCTCTCGCTCTTGCTTTGTCCCTCTTTGGTCAAATTTAAAACAAATAAATAAGTTAAATTAAATTAAATAATTCTAAAAAAAAATGGAAGTTAAGAAAAAAAACTCTTTGGGAGTATCTTTTGTCCTTATTTCCTAAATTTGGACATGCATGTACCTATGACTCAACAATTCCATTCTTGGTTACGTATGTAACAGAAATGTTTACATCTGCTCACCAGTAGACTTGCACGAGAATGTTCAGAGCAGCATTACTGGCATAACTCAAAATAGGAAAGACCCAAATACACATCAATAGGATGATAAATTAATTATATATATTCGTATAAGATATCATTCAAAATTAAAAGTGAATTCTAGCCACATTTAAGAATATATATGACTTATGAACCTTACAAACGCAATGAAGAAAGAAGCCTGACTTAAAATAATGTGTTCTGTATGATTTCATTTAAATAAAGTTTTTAAACAAGGAAAATGAACTCAAATGTTAGAGTATGTGTTATCCTGCAGAAGAGAGGGCAGTGACTAGGATGGGGATAGGAGGTCTGCTCCTAGGGAGTTGGTAATGGTTCTATTTCTTGTGTGTCCTGAGTACCAGGCATGTTCCCTCTAAATAACTCATGGAACTATCCACTTAGTAATTCTGTACTTCCAAGTATGCACATGATTCTTCGACATGCAAATTCGATCGGTTGAACATAGAACACTTTTTCTAGTTTGTCACAAGATCAGATGACATAGTGGTTGGTTCAAGACTCTGGAATTTAATGGTCTAGGGTCATATACTGGATCTAAGCACTTCCTATCTCAGAGATCTTGGCCAAGTTACTAACTCTGAGCTTTAGTTTCTTCATCTGTATAATAGAATGAATTATGGTACCCATCTCAAAGTTATTAAGGAGATTACATACTCTGAATACATAATAGCTATGTGGTGGCCCTTGCTGATCTTTATCCTACAGACAATAGAGAGGACAGATGGTGGCCTGTGGTGGAGAAGGTGGTGGACAGATCCGTATAAAGTATCTGTCAAGAGATACTTTAAAGGTGAGATGATGCTGAGTAAGTGCTGCAAGGTCTGACTCTGCTCCTGCTGCTCCCTGTCTCTGGTCTTCTTCCCAGGTGTAAGTCTGGGAGGTAGCCTAACCAGGAGATCTTTAGTGCTTAGTCCTACCTATGACATTGTAGAGACAGGAGGGCAATGGGAATGCCATTCAAAAGTGAAATGTAAATTTCCACCTTTGGTCCAAACTCTACCACCAAAGCCTAGAAACTTGGAAGTCATGAGAGTAAACAGTCGTGGGATTAGGAGCCATTTCTGTTACTTTTCATTGTTCTGTTTTTGCAAGGAATGTGTCTTCATAATCATGCAAAATGCCATACACAATATATTCATATCTATGATTTATAACTATAGAATTTAAAAAGGAAAGGAAGAAAGAAACCCTAATAATGCAGATGTGCCAGAACATCTGGCAGGGAACACATTTATGTTTTCTTATGTACAAGGCCCAACCCAGCAGAGCACTTTGGGATGGACATGAGTCACTCTCACAGAAACTATCTATGCGTAATTTTTTATATCTTTATCCAAAGTAATTTGTTATTTTTTTTTCACTTGTGTTTCTTTTGCTATTTTTTAAAAAAATGTGTTTCTCACCCTATCCTCCGTTGATTACCTACATTTTTCTTTTTCCAGTTGAAGCTAGCCTAATCTTTTGTTACAATATTTCACCTTATTAGTAAAACTTGGAACAAGAGAATAAGAATAAAGGGTTTTCTACTCACTGTTTCTTAATTTCTAAAAGTAGTTTGGATGGAATTATCACTTGTTCTGTAAACTTGGTACTGGACATATCATCGATGAACATGGTTGAGAGGTTGGAATGGGGCCTCCGCCAACCCTCTTCTTCTTGCAGGGACAGGAAAACAAAATATGTGTTTCCACTAGAGGTTGTGAAGGACTCCACATCATCGTGCAGGACCTTCTCCAGGTTTTCTTCCTTGGCTTCGCCCTAAGCAGGTACCAAGATTTTAGATTTGACATCGTCAGATGGACTTGGGGATGCCAGCCACAGACTTGACAGCAAAGAGATTGTACACCTGGTACTAAATCTTGCCTGTCATTGTTCTTTGTTTTGTTTCTTTTTTCCCCACCGAGGGGGGGAATTTAAAATTGAGGAGATCCATATAAAAATCTGGTTTCTAGTTTCTCTTAAAACATCAGAACATGAGCCAGCAGGTAGAGACTTTAGCATGGAGGCTAAGGCAGCTAGATTCCACGTGTCTGACTACACAGTTTGGGTCCCAGACCCTGTGGCTTGAAAAGCACACTGGGCTCATGTGTGTGCATGCCCAAAATCCTGAGAAGAGAAAAGAGAAGGGATTGTGGTGTTGCCATCCCCCTCGGGGGTACTTTCTCCCTCTGTCTCTCTCCAGCAAGCATAAATGCCCTGTAGCAAACTAAAACAAAACAAAGCAAAACAACAGAACATGGGTCAGTTCTGAGCCTGCCTTCCCACATGGCATCTGGCTGCCACTGAGCAAAGACTGCACAATCTTCATCACTTCCCGTTATTTCACTCCTGATGTCCTGCTCTCTTATCCATCATACACGCGCTGGCATTGGAACTTAGAATTTCTGCTCAAAAAATAGTTTCATATACCCATTCTTCTATCACAGTATAGGAACAAGCCTTTTACAGCTCCAAGATTATGGAATTCAGGTACTGCTCTGTGAGTATGAACGCATGAGGGCTAGGTTTATTAACAGGAGAGACACTTCCCTATACCCTGTCTGACAGCTTGGATAGGATTCTTTTGGCTACACAACTAGAGTAGGGA